GGTGGTGGATGGCTGCAGCCGAGTGGTTTTTGCGGAGCAGCACTGAGGGCCTAGGTAAAGTTAGAGACCAAGTATTAGTGGCCCCAATCCCCAAGGCTAGCTCAGAAGTTTCCAGTATAGCTCAGCAGTTCTGGTGGCTTGTTACTTCTTTTTGAACTGACTAAATTTTTCTTTCTTTCTTTTTTCTTTTTGAGATGGAGTCTCGCTCTGTCACCCAGGCTGGAGTGTACTGGTGTGGTCGCAGCTCACTGCAACCTCCGTCTTCCAGGTTCGAGTGATTCTCCTGCCTCAGCCTCCCGAGTAGCTGGGATTACAGGCACCGGCCACCATGCCCAGCTAATTTTTGTATTTTTAGTAGAGATAATTCAAAACCATGTTGGCCAGGCTGGTTTTGAATTCCTGACCACAGATGATCCGCCTGTCTTGGCCTCTCAAAGTACTGGGAGTATAGGCATGAGCCATGGCACCTAGCCAAATATTTCTTTCTTAAGTAACTATTTCAAATTTGAGCCAAGCTACTGAAATAAGTTAATGCATGAGCAAATGTAATACTCATATTGGAATTATTAGTAAATATTTTATTTACATACTTATTAAAAATCAAGTATTAATATTTAAGTTGCCCCAAAGTAGACATTTTCAAGGAAATCTATCTTTTCTTTTCTTTTTCCTTCCTTCCTTTCTTTTTTATTGATGCAGAGTAGATGTACATACTTTCAGGGTAATGGAATAATCTAATACGTTCATATAACTGGTAAAGATGAAATCAGTATATTTGGAATATACATCATCTTAAATATTTGTCTTTTCTTTATACTAGAACCACTCGAATTCTTCTCTTCTAACTATAGTTGTGATTTTAAGTGCAAAGAAAGTAGACCAGTGGATTGATCCTGAGTAGCAGGGAGATGGATACAGGGAGGTGGCCAAAAGAAAAAGAAACGGGAACTCCTCAATCCAATGGTCAAGCCCCTAGGCCTAATTTTGAGTTTTCAGGGCACAGGAGAACAAACATGAAGCCTGGGAGAAAGTGGGGAGGGCAGGGTGGGCTCGAGGGCTTGGGGGTCTACCAGAAGAACAGAGGAACAGGACTGGGGGAGGAGGGAAGATAAAGGGAAGGAGGGAAGCTATGATCAGTGGGTGGATCTCAGAATCTGCACAGCTTATGGCGACAAAAGGGCAGGGTGTAGCTACAGGGGTGGGGTCTGAAGCAGAATGACAGAATGTGGAAGGAGCTGAACCCTAAAAGGCCAGAGGGTCCCAGGGTTTAAGTGTTGGTGCCTTCAAAATACACTTGCAACAACCCAGCTATCCTTCAACAGGCGAATGGTTTGACATACTACAGCACCTCCACATCATGGGATACAGGTTGAATATCATTTATCCAAAATGCTTGGGACCAGAGTGTTTTGGATTTGGGAATATTTGCATTATACTTACCAGTTGAGCATCCCTAATCTGAAAATTCAAATTCTAAAATGCTACAATAAGCACTTGCTTTGAGTGTCACGTCAGTGCTGAAAAGCTTCAGATTTTACAGCATTTTGGATTTTCAGATTTGGGATACTCAACTGGTACTACTTTGCAATACAAAGGAATAAACTATTGATAAACACATCACTGGAATGAAATCTCCAGCAAATTATACTGGTTGAATAAAACCAATCCCAAAAGGTTACATACTATATTATTCCATTCATATAACATTCTTGACATTATAAAGTTACACAAATGGAGTACAGATAAGTTGCTGCCATAGGTTATTGAGGGCAGAGGTAGGGCAGGAGGGAAGTGGGTATAGTTACAAAAGGCCAACAGGAGGGATCCTTATAGTGACAGGATTGTCTACATCTTGACTATACTAATGTCATTATCCTGTTTGTGCTCTTTTGTACTATAGTTCTGTTAGGTGTTACCATGGAGAGAAACCAAGTATTATTTCTTTTTCTTTTTACTTTTTTTTTTTTTTTAGAGACAAGGTCTCCTTCTGTTGCCCAGGCCAGAGTGCAGTGGCATGATCATGGCTCACTGCAGCCTTGAACTCCTGGGCTCAAACAATCCTCCTACTTCAGCCTCCCAAGTAGCTGGGACTACAGGCACATGCCACCATGCCCAGCTAGATGTATTATTTCTTTCTTTCTTTTTTTTTTTTTAAACTTGGCCAAGTCCTGAAGGAAAGATGTATTATTTCCTACAACTGCATGCAAATCTATAATTTCTCAAAATAAAAGGCTTTATAAAAAATTTAGCCAGGCACGGTGGCTCAAGCCTGTAATTCTATAATCCCAGCACTTTGGGAGGTTGAGGTGGATGGATCACTTGAGGTCAGGAGTTCGAGACCAGCCTGGCAAACATGGTGAAACCTCGTCTCTACTAAAAATGCAAAACTTAGCCAGGCTTGGAGGCATATGCCTGTAATCCCAGCTACTCGGGAGGCTGAGGCCGGAGAATCGCTTGAACCCGCAAGGTGGAGGTTGCAGTGAGCCGAGATGGCACCAATGCACTCCAGCCTGGGCGACAGAGCAAGACTTAATCTCAAAAAAAAAAATTTAACCCTAATTTACTTTCCTAATGAATAAGTGCCACTCCTTTACATATATCTCATGTGTGCACATTGAACTTATTTTTTCCATAGAGGGTTAGATGACTCTTTAAAGCCATATGCACCAGGCGTGGTGGTTCATGCCCTTATATTCTTAACATTTTTGGAGGCTGAGGTGGGAGGATCGCTTGAGGCCAGGAGTTCAAAACCAGCCTGGGCGACATAGTGAGACCTCACTTCTACGAAGGTAAAAACAACAAAACAAAGTTTTTTTTTTTTTTTTTTTTTTTTTTGAGACGGAGTTTCGCTCTTGTTACCCAGGCTGGAGTGCAATGGCGCGATCTCGGCTCACCACAACCTCCGCCTCCTGGGTTCAGGCAATTCTCCTGCCTCAGCCTCCTGAGTAGCTGGGATTACAGGCACGCACCACCATGCCCAGCTAATTTTTTGTATTTTTAGCAGAGACGGGGTTTCACCATGTTGACCAGGATGGTCTGGATCTCTTGACCTCGTGATCCACCCGCCTCGGCCTCCCAAAGTGCTGGGATTACAGGCGTGAGCCACTGCGCCCGGCCCCAAAACAAAGTTTTTAAAAGCCATATGCAGTGGAACAGTCTCTTAGGTTAGATACTTGTAAAAGCACATTAGGTGAAAACTGCATATTGCCAGAATTACCCTAGAACATTCTTTTATGAAGATGTCATACGGGAGACCAGCATGTCAGCTCTCATTAAGCCCTGACACAGCCAGACATGCTCTGCTCCCAGTTTGTAACAATGACCACTTCTTCAGCTGAATACCAGATGCAGTCACTGGGTTTTATTTAAGGGCTATGTTTTATGAAAACTTATCTTTGGACACCAGAACCTCACTTTGCATGACTGCATGCTCATACAAGAATTCAGGGCAACTATAGAAAAGCTGGTACATGTCTCTCATCTCTCTCTCTCTCTGTGGGACACAGGTTCATTGAATAGAAGAGTGGGCAGAACAGCCCACACCATTTACGTGATCTCTCTTTCTTAGGCTACACATATATGACTGAATTTATATGGTGCAGTTCCACTGCTATGCTTATCATACAGCAATGAAATATATATATTTACCTAACTGCTCCCAAGTAGACTGTGATAACAAAGACCATCTCTTACTTTTTATTTACTTATTTATTTATTTTTGAGACGGGGTCTTGCTCTGTTGCACAGGATGAGTGCATTGGCATAATCATGGCTTACTGCAGCCTTGAATTCCCAGGCTCAAGCAATCCTCCTACTTCAGCCTCCCAAGTAGCTGGGGACACAGGTATGCACCACCACGTCCAGCTAATTTTTTTTTTTTTTTAGTGACAGGGTCTCGCTATGTTGCCCAGGCTGGTCTCAAACTCCTGGGCTCAAGTGATCCTCCTGCCTTAGCCTCCCAAAGTGCTGGGATTACAGCAGTGAACCATTGGGTCTGGCCCATCTCTTACTTTTTTATTAAATTAAAAAAAAAAATCCCCAGAGCCTAATACACTGCTTGGCACAGGGCAGATGTCACTAAATCGTTATCGAATGAATGAATCAAAGTACAGGCTCCCATATCCTGACTAAAACATGGAAATTACCTTGTTTCATAGTACTTACTAGTATAGTTCTGTTTGCTAATTAAATTTTCTCCCAGCAGATACTCCTCTGGGACTAGGTTAAGTATTTCAAGTAGTTATTTACTCATTTTCTCCTGCCCCGATTTTCATGGTCAAGACCCTCGTTTGTAGCTCAGCTGGGGGGGATGGTGAGCTTTCTAAAGAGATCTGCACCCTTGCCTGTTTATTCAGCAGAGGCCTTTTAACGCTTATCTAATCTCTTGGTTTCATAAAATATTATTTTTCCTGAGAAATAACTCAGTCACTTACTGGGAAAAATCTAACTTAATGCATTTTAAGGAACAATACTAAAAGTATGAGGAAATTCTGGGTATCTGAGAAAGTATTTGAGAAAATGTTTAAAGGAAATTACTTTTCATAAGCAAGATTGGTCTGTATTTTCCAATTTTTTTGGAGATGGAGTCTCACTCTGTTGCTCAGGCTGGAGTGCAGTGGCACGATCTTGGCTCACCACAAACTCAACCTCCCGGTTCAAGCGATTCTCAATTCTCATGCCTCAGCCTCCTGAGTAGCTGGGATTACAGGTGTGCACCATCATACCAGGCGAATTTCTGTATTTTTGGTAGAGACAAGGTTTCACCATTTTGGCCAGGCTGGTCTTGAACTCCTGACTTCAGGTGATCTGCCTGCCTTGGCCTCCCAAGGTGCTGGGATTACAGGTGTAAACTACTGCACCTGGCTGCAATTTTGTGTTATTTTGATTTTATACCAGTGTTAGGTTAGCCTGTTAGAATGAGTTAAGCATTCTGCCTTTTACGCGTATCAACACAAATGGAATTTATTTTTCACATGGATAAAAAGGAACTAGTAACTCACCTTTACTGCATTGCCACCACCTTTGGGACCTTGAGCCTTCTTGTCAGCACTGTCACTCCCAGAGGCTGCTCCCCCTTTAGAGAAGAGATGACAGGTACTCATTTAAACTGCACCTCCATGTTTACGGAAAGGTCCAACACACAACGGGAGTTGATACTTCCATCATAATGCCACACTTCAAAAGGGAACTCGGCCAGACACTTTACAACAAGGGTATCCAATCTTTGGCTTTCCTGGGCCACATTGGAAGAATTGTCTTGGGCCACACAAAATACAGTAACACTAATGATAGCTGATGAACTAAAACACACACACACACACACACACACACACACACACACACAAAATCTCATAATGTTTTAAGAAAGTTTCTGAATTTATGTTGGGTTGCATTCAAAGCCATCCTGGGCTGTATGCTGCCTGTGGGCCACGAGTTGGACAAGCTTGCTTTACGGTATCAAGCTAAATGAATCTGACTCACCTTTCTTCAAACAGAAAATCTGTGCCCTATATAAACCCTTCACAGAAAGTTGATACACAAATTAGTGTGCTAATAGGTGAATGAAAGCTCCAGAAGCCTGGCCCAGATTCTCTGCATCCAATTTAACACCCTGTCTTCTGAGGGCAGAGTTCTTTTAAGAATTCTATCATGTACTGCAACTATGTATTCAAGCATCACAACCCCAGTAGGTAAAATCTCCAAGAATATATTTTTTAAAAAGATCAAATTTCTCACTACCCATTTTTGGCTAAGGAATACATTCATGTCCAAATTTCTAGAGTCTACCACATTGCCTACTGATGTCTACCTAGAAGCATTAGCAACATCTTACATTTTACTAGTATATCATTTTACTACTATGGTGACTTCTGTGTCAATGACAGCCTACTTACTGCTAGAGGCCGATGTTCCTAAGAACTAGAGCTGAATTAAGGGTTTAGTTCAATAAACATTTCCTAAACAACTACTGAATTCCAGGCACTGGGAGTACAAAGATGAACAAACCATGTACGTTCCTTCAGAAAACTCATATTCTAGTGAGGAAAACAGATCATTTCAGGAGAATGCAGGAGATGCAGAGATGGTTATGGACAGGGGGCTGTGGAAGCACAGAGGGACACTGGAGCCAGCCAAGGAAGGTTTCCTGGATGAGTAGGAGCTGGTCAGCCAAAGAATGGATAAGGAGACACTCCAGAATGGGGGAAACGACATGGTATGTGTAAGAAATTGTATGGATGAAGCCATACAATGGGAGTGCACTCAGATGAGCCTGCCTAAGGGAGGTAGCTGAGGGTCAGGGCACTGGGGACTTTTGGCCCCATTAAGGAGCTTGGGATTTGTCCTAGAAGTAATAGGGAGCTACTGAAAAGTTTTAAGCAAGAGTCTCCATCTTGCTTGTCTCAATATCTCCAAGCCTAGCACAATGCCTGGCACACAAAAAGTGTTTTAATAATTGTTTAAATAAACTGAAAACCCCAAATACTGACTGCCAAAAACCTAAGAAAACGCTACCGTCAAAGGAGTGTTATTAAATCAAACTCCTAACTGGGTTTGCTACTGAATGATGATGACTTCCAATTATCCCATCCTCTCCCCTGCTGGATGTTGTCATCTTCTGACTGCCACCTCACTGCCTTTGATTTCCTGAGGACTCTGGCATCAGCTTTGGGTTTCCTCTCCACCCTCACTCCTGCCATTACCTAAAGTGACCTCACCATCCATCCTGAGGAATCTCACAGTTCTGGGTCTCCTTCCCGAATGCCATGCTCTTTACTCCAAGTTACCTGCCCTGGGGGCACACGATGGAACTATGCCACTCAGAACTAGTTCAATCTCTGGCTATGACCTCCTGTCTTTCCAGCTTTCTCATGTCTCATTCCCACAATACTGGCTCTTTATTTCACAGAGCCTCCCCCTCGGCCCCAGTCCCTTCATCCTGCTACATTCTCCTAGACCACCAGACTTCTCTTTTTCCCAGTCTGGACCCTACGCTCGTTCATCTGAACCGCGTTCCTACTGGCCCTCATAATTCCCTTGAGTTGCTATCCTATCATAACTGCCCAACAAAACTTCACCCATGGCTTAAGGCTGCACCTAGCTCATTTCAATAATATATTGTGCCAGTTGTATGGTACTAGGTAAATCAGACTGTGAAGATTAGGTAGTCTACAAATTCATGGCCTTTGATCTTAGTCAAGCTCCTAGCCCTGAGGGAACTCCTTTTACTTGTTTCATTCCCTCTCCCATTACAATAGTCCAGAGCTTCACCACTCTCCTCAAGATGCCTACTGAATCCCTGCCCCTCCATCTCCTTTCCTATGACCTCAAGCATAAGGTGTCCCTACTCCCCTGAGGTCCTGGATTCCATTTTCTCCTAAATCTCACTCCTCTGTACCTTTACCTATTTTACTTTCTGGATCCTTCTGCCTCACTCCCAAATTTGTCCCATTCCAAAAAAGCAAAGAAAATAAAACATTCTCTTAATCCTTGCTCCTCCTCTATCTACCATCCTATTTCCATGCTTTTCAATTAAAACTTTCCAAGAAGTCCAACTTACCACTTCCTAGTCAGTTCTCTAGTCACTGCAATCTGGCTTCTGCTTCACTGGAACCACTTTTACCTAAGGCCACCTCTAATTTCCAAATCTGCTGTGTTTGATAGACTATATCCTCTTTCTTTAAAACATTCTGGTCTCTCCAGCCTCTGAGCCATCATTCTGCACTCGCTCTATTTGTCTGCCTCTTTCTCTGCCTGTCCTAGCATCACATCCTCTACTCTCTGCTCTTTTCATTCTATAAACTCTCCATGGATAACTGCATACACTCTCACGGGCTCAACTACCATCTATAAGTTAATGACTCCTAAAACCTAAATGTACAGTCTAGATCTCTCCCTCAAACTTCAGACTCAAATATCCAACCACTTCCTGACTACATCTCCACTCAGATGTCCCACAGACACCTCAAAGTCAATCTATCTGAAAGTGAATTGATTAATCTCATCCCTGCTCCTCATGTATCCTTGATGTTAGCCCACAGCACCAGCAACAAGTTAGAAATCCAATTTAGAAAACAGGATGATCGTTGATCCTCCCTCATCACCTTTCCTAACCCAATAAATCACCAAGTTTTGACTGTTTCACATCCTAATATTTATAGACTCTTTTCTCAGCGCCCACAGCTACTCCCTTATCTCAGTCCACCACCATCTCTCACCAAGACTACCACAACAATCTCCTTACAGGTCTGTCTGATCCTTAACCGACCTTCTTAGCACCATATATAGCACTCTCCATGACCTGGTCTTTGTTTCTGTCTTCATTCTCACCATTTGCCATTCTGCCTTGAGTTTTTGCTCCAGAAACTCTATACTGCACACATCATGCTGTTTCTCACCTCAGTGCTTTTGCTGCTGGACTCCAAGTTGGGAATGCTTTAACCTACCGCCAATGCCCATCTTAACCTCTGCCTAATTCATCTCCAGGAATTCTTCCCTTCCCTGTTCCCAGCTAAATGAAGCACTTCCCTCAGTTTCTATTATATCCCATACAGATCCTTCAACACTACATTTAGTACAGTGCTTTATGATCACTAAGCCTTTATCTTCCTCTCTACTTCGGGAGCTCCTTAAGGCCAAAATCCTTCTTTTTTTTTTTTTTTTTTTTTGGGCACAGGCTCGCTCTGTCGCCCAAGATGGAGTGCAGTGGCACGATCTCGGCTCATTAAAACCTCTGCCTCTCGGGTTCAAGCGATTTCCTGCCTCAGCCTCTCGAGTAGCTGGGATTACAGGCGCGCACCACCACGCCTGGCTAATTTTTGTATTTTTAGTAGAGAAGGGGTTTTGCCATGTTGGCCAGTCTCGAACTCCTTACCTCAGGTGATCCACCCGCCTCGGCCTCCCAAAGTGCTGGGATTACAGGCTGAGCCACCGAGCCCAGCCCTCTGTTTTATTTTTATATCTTTAGTACTTAGCGCTTTGCCTGACAGATTTCTGTTCAATGGATGAATGATTCCTTCCCCGATGATGGACATGGCATTCTATAAGCATTACAGTGAATTTTAAGGATCATAATCAATGTGTACTTCTTATTGCTGGCTTTTGATAAGACTTTTACAGCTCTAATAACCCCTTGAAATAGCAGTCTTAAGTCATCGTCTCCGAGGAACTATGCCCACCAGATTCCATTACCCACCAGGACGGTCCCTGAACCGTGGCCCAATGTATTCCTACAGACGTAATCGATGGCAGCACTGTGGGACCACTGCTACCTGCTGCATCCGTCCCGGACTCCAGAGATGGACTGTCTGTTCCCTCCCTTCGCTCCTCACCCGCCCCCATTCTCCTTGATCGCTCTGGCCGCTCTACCTTTCCCCGCTTTTCCAGAACCACTTTTTCCTTTGGGCGGCATCTTGGAAACCTGCTGTTGAACTCTGAACTGCTCCAGTTGCTTTACAAGCCCCTTTAGACCACATGGACATGCCCTGAACAAATGCCTGAAAGCCGCATCGCAATAGACCGTTCTTATTGTAACTCCGGAAGCAGGCACAGCTTGGGGCAGACCCCATCCTTCGGCTCTCGGACCAATGGGGCCGAAGATGTCTGACCAATAAGACGCTTGGGGCCGAGGCGAAGGCCGAGGGGCGGAGACAAAGGCTGGATTGAGGCGGGAAACCCCGCCTCTGCGCTTTTTGTGACTTCTTTCATGCACACTTATTTGCACCAGATCCCACGCTCTGCACCCCAAACCCCGCCGCCCCGCTGCGTGCTTCACGCGTGCGCAGTAGGAGCCGCAGGGGCCTCTGCAGTCCCTCGGCGCCCGCTCTAGCCAATCCCACGGGGCCGCCAGACAAAGAGAAGCAGGAAGAACCTTGGTGGCGGCCAACTTCCGCTGTCTCCTCCTACACACAGGGCTGCCCTCTCTGGCAGTTTTTCATTTGTTAATTTTATTCTGCAGTTGTAGCTAATTGGGTTCAAAAAGTAGTTTTTTAAAAAACCTGTCACCCCTTTGCCTCTTGCAGAGCGCTCGGTCATGAAGAAACATTAGAAACAGTCTCAAGTGCTCCTCAGTTGGATAGTGCTTAAATGTTTCAGCCACACAAAAAGATATTATGCACCATTCAAAATAACGATTGTAAGGCTGTGTGTACAGATAGGGGAAATGTTTTTAAGACCAAGATAAAGAATATGATTCCTTTTATATATTCTTTTCTTTTCCAGTGTCATGTGATACTATGGAATATGATTACTTTTAAAAGTTTGTGTAATGTACTATATGATGTATGAATCTAAAGGAGAGGAAAGCTATACAGCAAGATGTGGCCAGTGGTGCTAGTACATACAGGTCCTCTTATTTGTTTCCGTATATTTTCCAAAATTTCCATTGTGCAGCATAATGTGGTAAAAGCATGGATTCTGGAGCCAGATTGCCTGGTTTCAAATCCTTGCTCCACATCTGTCTACTAGTTCCATGACCTTGAGGAAGTTTCTTCACTTCTCCTTGGCTCAGTTTTATCATCTGTGAAATGGAGTCAATGATAATAGTACCTATTATTATCCTATCGGGTGTTAAGAGAAGAAGTTCATATCTGTAAAGCACATAAAACGATGACTTGCTCATATTAATAGTGTTTGCCTAAGAGAAATGATTTTTGAATTTGTGCCCACACACTTTTTCTCCCCTTACAATTCCTCCCACCCATCAAAAATTTGTATATGGTATGTCAAGAGGACGTTTCCTCCACTCCATGAGTGAGCTGTCCAACTTGCCACTTCAGCCAGAATATAGAGATCTTCCAGCTCAAAGTTTAGTTTTTGGATGCAGCCTTGCTGGACTTGGAGATGCTTCATGCTGATACCAGGGAGTCAGGTATTTTTGAGATTGTACTCATACCCTACTCAAGACATAACATGGAGCCCCCTATGTTGGGCTGCTGTAACTTCTGGACATATTTTGGGCACTCCTTGTTTCGGATTGGGAGTGATCACCTGCGGAGATCTTTCCTCCCCCACTCGCCGCATACTACAGTGATGAAGGGATCATTGCTCTGCCACTTCTGAGGTGGATCCCGCCCCTATACTAATTTTCCAAGTCCGGCTGCGAGATGGAGGGGCAGGAGAGCCGGGGTTGAGAGTTGACAGGGACAGTGTAGCCTTGTGTTCATCAGGTTATCCATGGCCAAGAGGCCCAAGAGGAACCTTGACTTTTGATTTTTCACTGGGAAGAGGCTTTCCTGTAATAAACTGGCTGTGGCAGTTGCGAAGCAGGAATGAAGAAAACTAGAGTTCAGATCCCAATGAACAACCAATGTCTGTCAATGGCTGATGTGCCTGGCAAATGTTTAGTGCCTGGAACACTGTGAGAACTCTGTGCATTCCAGCAGATAATAACAGCAACAATGATAATAAGCAAGCCTGTGTCTGTGGCTGAATTTTTCAAGCAAGGCTGAAGGCCAGTAGCTCCAAGGGGAAAAGAATGAGCATAGGCCTGCTGGAGGTTCCAAGGTCAAAAGCATTTTAAGACAGTCAGATCTCAGCTATGCAGTATGCATTACAAAAAGATGGGGCAGGTATTATTATACAATTTTAAGTATCAGTTCTGAAATGCGAGTTTAACTTTCATTTTCTTCTGTTTATATTCTGTTTTATTACATTTGTTTTTTTTTTTTCATTATTCAAGAGAAAACGACAATCAATGTAATTTGAAAAGCAAATCATAGAAAAGCCAGCTTCTGTTCAGGGTTAAGTCTGCACCAGTCTGTGGAGGCAGACTGTGAAGGAGTCTGTGGAGCAGAGTGACAAATTAACTGAAGAGAAAGGGCAGGGGGAGCAAAGAGGAGAAAAACTCAGCCTTGAAACCATGGTAACATCTGCTGGAGTGTGCACTGTGACTCAGCCAGCAATGGCTGCCAGTTGTATTTTCTACTAATTACCTTCTCAGGTTCATTTTTCTATGCATTACTTGAGGAAAATCAGGAAGAGAAGTTGGCAGCCCTCTTCCCAGGACAGAGGTTCACAGACCTTGGCCCAGATTCACACACTGCCCCACCTGACCTGTCCCACAGCCAAAGAATTACAGTTTCTTTCTTGCTTGAGATCTCAGCAGAGCTTATTCTGCAAGGGAAAGCTTGAAGCAACAAAACACAGAGCTCTAGTTGATCCCATTCATCATGGTCATTCCATAGGGAGCTCTGGGCCCCAGACTCTGGGGACAATGACAAGAAACAGTCATGTTTGGAAAATGAAGACAGGAAAAAAATCAGTGCATAGTGGATGAGATCAGCCACCTATAAAAGTAACCAATCATCATGGCAAATGGACATAGGCATTAATATTTAAATATATTGCTGATATGACTGATATGTCTCCATGAGTACAGTCAGTGGCCAAATAACTTTCTAACCCACTTCATACTAGGTAATGAAGCTTTGACTGGTTTTTCAAAAAGGGCTTCAGAGAAGAAGGCTTCATCTAGGTTTGTCCAGCATTATCTAAGCAAAGGAACTACAGTTTCTGGAAGACCTTACTATACCAGTATCTCACCAGGTGGATTTTGTTTTTTAGAGGCAGTATTCACTTGAGACAGTGGAAAACAACCAACACAAATTGTACATGTACTATGAACCAGGAGCTTTCCCTTCGTGAATGCTTTTCGTTTTCACAACAGCCTTATTTGCAAAATATTACTATTACCACCTTTTTTTTTTTTTTTTTTTTTTTTTTTTTTTTTTTTTTTGTGGAGACAGAGTTTTGCCCTGTCGCCCAGGGTGGAGTGCAGTGACGTGATCTCGGCTCTGCCTTCTAGGTTCAAGCAATTCTCCTGCCTCCACCACCCAAGTAGCTGGGACTACAGGTGCCTGCCACGATGACTGGCTAATTTTTATATTTTTAATAGAGACGGGGTTTCATCATGTTGAAAGGCTGGTCTAAAACTCCTGACCTCAAGTGATCCACCTGCCTCGGCCTCCCAAAGTGCTGGAATTACAGGTGTGAACCACCTCACCCAGCCCTATTACCATCTTAAAGCTGAAGAAACAGGGTCAGAGAAGTTAAGAAATGTACCTAAAGTTTTACAGCTAGCTAGGGTGTGTGGCAAGGTTAGGCTCCGAACTCGTCTGTTTGACTTCTAAGCTGGTACCCTCTTCCATGATGCCATGCTGCTCCAGTCTTTGCCATCCCCTAAATGAAATTAAGAACATCCAGTTCTCTTTTTTTCTGAGTGAATGTTCACCAAATCAGCTCTCCAGAGACAGTGAGGCAATTGGGTACAGACACTCTGTGCAAGAGGCCCTAGGGTCGAGTTATACCCCCAATGTGAGACATAAATAAGCCTTTGGATTACGCATCAGTGTGTTATTATGAGTAACCTGGAATGTGCTTGCCTCTGCCTGCTGTGCTTGACCTTCCAGGCTGCAGAAGCACAAGAGGCAAGGAGAAGGAACACAGTATGGGTGGGGAATAGTGGGCAGGGTACTGTAGCCAAGGCAGACAGGAGCTGATGGGTAAGAGGTCTTTTGTATCCTCAGCCTTGGGCACTGGTCTCCATGTTCAGTGGATTCTGCCTCCTAAACAACACTTCTCCATGCCCCCCACCCCACAATTTTACAGTGAACATTTTGCTGGATTTGCTTTATTACATATTCACCCATCAATCCATCTTGCATTTCAAAGCGAGGTACAGACATCAGCACACTCCATCCCCGAACACTTCAGTAGTCATAATTAGGAGTCACTCTAATTATGACTACTGCCCTCCCTGCCACTGCCATAGCCTTCTGCGTATTCTCTAGACCATCAGAACAGCCTCCACATTGATCCCTCTGCTGCCAGTCTCACCACCTCCTACCCTCTGCGGCATCTCAGAGGGAGCTCTTAGGAACACAGACCTGATACTGTGACTCTCCCAGTTAAGACCCTTCAGTGACTCCCCATTGTCTGATAGGACACTGTCCCACTTTTTAAACTGGAGGCGCAGGGGCCATTATGCTGACATCTGCAGCCTTATTCCTTGCTAATCGCCACTGGGCTCAACCATACCAAGTTACTATTTACAGGCCCTATCTTAAGACTCCATGCTGGGGTTTTCTCTTTGTTGGAATCCCCCCTCCCTCGGTCTTTGAATGGGGGCTGTTTTCTTCTTCCTTCCTCCTTCCTTGCCTATTAAACCTTTTGCTCCTTAAAACTATTTAAAAAAAAAAAAGACTCCATGCTGATCTCTCTGCTTGGAATGCTCTTCCCTTATTTTTGGTCTAGCTAATACTTATTTACCTTTCAAGACTGAGCTCAGGTGATACCTCTTTCTTGGAAGCCTTCCCAGACCCTCTTCTTTTCCCAGGCTGGGACACTCCTCTGTGCTCCCAAAGTACCCTATGCTTAGCCCCAATGATGTATAATGTCTATTATTTTAAATTTGTAAAGTTTGGTTTTCTGGCACACAATGTGGTCTATCTTGGTAAATGTGTCACATGTACTTGAGAAGAATATGTACTCTGCAGTTGCTGAGTGGAAGGT